ATGTTTGGTCAAATTGACCTAAGGTTATTACTATTATTCTTATCTATGATTAAGAAATCTAATGATGCGTGAATATAATTGGCTACAATGTGTAATTAAGAAGATGGCAGCGACCGTAGTCTATATTTTCTAGGTAGTTAATATTTGTCCCTCAACTGTAACGTTTAAGATGGATTCCAAGGTTTATATGCAAACCACGGGTCCGTAAACAGCGAACAAAACTGGTCACTCAAGCATGTTATGTCTTTTCACGCACGAAATCATTATCCGTGCACATTTTGAAAACAGTTCCTATAAATTGAAAGAGGAAGCCAAGTAATTCAGGTAGTCCATTCAAAACAATCAAAAATACTTTACTGAAAACGCTTTCCATAAGAAATGTTAACAAGACATTTTAAAGCAAATTTTTAACATGTATTTCTTCCTCGATAATAGGTTTCCACAAATTGCTTACAGTATGCTGAGAAACATAAGTTTGGTAAATTGTCTATTTGTATTTCCATTACGTTTTTCTTCATATTTGTACTTTAGATAGATCCTATAATTTTATAAGGGGACGCAATAAATTCAGGAGGAGACGACGATATTTTTTGTGAAGGGGGAGACAATTTTGACAATTTTGTTTAACAACAATTACACACTTTTATGCTTCTTTTAGAACAAATAAACATGTAAAGAGCATGGCTACGCTATAGACAGGGGAAAATTATTAGATACGAACTAACAACAAAGTACTGACGATACTTGATTATCAAAAATAAAGGCAGTCTCTTTGTTTCTACAAAATAACAACAGTATGGTTCTTTTCAAAAATACAGTCACCACCGTGTATTCTTGATTGAACTCTTTGTAAACCCAACAAAACTTTCTAGTTAATAATTACCTATGAAGTGATAACGTGATCCTGTTTACCAAACAAAACTAAACATACCTTTCTAAACATTAATAATGCCGTTTAACTAAAATGGGGACCAAAGAAAGTAAAGAAAAAACTTGTTGCCTTAGTTCGGTAGACTCACTGAGTCGTATGTTCAGTTACAGAAGCAAACAAGTATCCATTTTTGGTGGTGTTTATTACCACCTTGTGGGGTCAGAGAGCATCAGCAAACACAATGGTGGTTTGTCATGAACTCATCTAGCTATACAAGACCATAATACAACTGGTAGCGAGTAAGTTTTCCACCTGTTGAGAACTGAGAACTCTGGATGAGACAAGATTACAGATAATTTATGGTGCGAGAATTTAAAGCCTAGGTATTTTTTTTCTTCTTTACCCCAGTAAGTTCACATATTAATGAAAATATATTTATTACAAAAAATCAATGACTACCAGAAAAAGTTCTACAGCTGTGGAAAGTAGCCACATTCACGTTTACGGTGTATTATGAGCTATTAATTTCTAAACTCATCCTATTTTTGCGAAATTACAAAATACCAGATGTGTGGAAGTAGGTTGCAACACTGCTCACAAAATAAACGTCAAACAATACTTTTTAAGGTCACTTCACCACCTCCGTTTTTTTTGTTTTTTTTTGGTTAGACCTAATTAATTGATAATGTATGTTGGTTGTTTTGAATACAGTGGAATAGAAAAGAATACGGTTGGAATAGTGCTTTAAACGCTAACACAATTGGTATTAGGCTTTGGCTATTGTAAGTTACTCTAACTTTGGGTGTTCCGGTAGCTCAGCGGTAAGCTTGGTGGCTTATAACACTAAAAATCATGGTTCGATACCTGCGGTGGGGGGACAATCCAGATAGCTTTGCGCTTAAACATACATACACAAAAATAAACCTAACTTAGATGTAAAGAATATGTATTTGAAAAAGTAACTTGTTGTTGATGCTAAACCTTATGAACTTCTCAAGAATTATCATTTATAAATTGATATAATAATTTATTTGCATGGATTTCAGATATCCTTTGGCTGGTTTTTGAAATAGTCAAAATGCCTTAGGCCACAACAGAATTAGGTTATACACAATAACCGTACACTTGTAACAACGAACTTAATACTATTATTTGCTAAATCTTGTTAACCACCAGGCATACATCAAAACACATTACAAACTGATACTTATAATAAATTCATATTTTGTGTCTTATTAACCACAAGGTATATATCAAAACATTACAAATAAATACATGTAATAGATCAATATATAATATTTGGTGTAATTTTTATTAACACATCTCGCTAACCATTTTCATTACGACGACAACAACAAAGAAAAAAACGTTTGAGGCTTTCTAGTTTTGGCCTTGGCCCAAATAACTTTCAGGGCCTTTTTTTAGGAAACTTTATACATCTGAAAGCAGTTCAACCAAGTTAGACTCACTATGTGATAATGAGAACCGATACTGTTCAGAACTCATTTTGTAGATGCTCATAACTTGAGCTGGGTTGTCTAACATAGTTTACAAACTTCGACATTATATGTTATATTTTCTGTATTTGTTTATCATGCAGTACAATTCACAAATTTCTTTTGAAACACAATCATGAGCAATACTAACCTTAACGACGATCGAAACATTAAACTCAGTGAAATTAGAGTTATCACGACCTTATAGATGGTGTTTTCATTGCTTATGTGTATTATGTTATATATTCTACTATACTATACTAATTGCCCAGTACTCTCAACAGGTTAATATTGTTTTAACAAAACATATGATGAGAAAATGAAAAGTCTACTATTTCACCGGGAACGAACAGTTTTACTTCAAACTATACTCTAAGCCAAAGGATTCAGTTGAAACAAAAATAGTTTTCAAACATGTTTTCTTTAATCGGGAAATAGTGAATGAAATCAAAAATATATCTACTTTTCTGTTACTGCCTACTTATTAGTTGGATTGATAATTCAACTAACTCCTGACTTTAACTTATAATTATATAGTGATACAGTATATCTAACCCCCCCCCCCACCCAAGTTGAATAATTAAGAACATTATAAATCAAGTAAATTGGGTACTTACTACAAAACAACATATTTCTCCGTTGCATCTGGTGTTTTAATATCTGTATTTAACACCTCAAACTGTGTCAGAGGTGCTAGGAAAACACATATTGTTTACATTATTTTTGTATGGAAAGTTTTGGTATGTTTAAGCTATGAAACGTTTGGCAAAATCACGAACTGTTTGGAGACTGTATGTGTTAGGGGGAGAAGAAGTTCACACATCTTATTACACTATTCTCTTACGAAAAGTATTTAAATTGAAATATGTTTTATATATATATATATATAT